GTGTCGACGTCTAAGACAGATATTTTTTCTTCTCTTCTTCTGTTCTCTAGATCACTTGTGCACAATAAAAATATTCTAACTTATTTTATGTTAGACTAGTTGATTGATACCAGTAACACACACTCCTCCTATTTGTATACACAATCATATTTAATAGCAAGGTAATATTTCGTGTTTCCGAACCAAATTCTTACTACAGATTATTATCTGTTTCTATAGCGCATGAGAGTGAAGAATTTAGATAATTCTTTTAAGTGGTGTCAGATTACTTCATGGCCTCTCATATCTCCTATGTTGAAAAGATTGAGTAAGATTGTGGTTTGAGTCTTTTAACTCCAAAATGAAAGAATAAAGAATAAGTAAATTAAAAGAAGTACAGAAACAATTGTTCTTAACATTTTTACTCATATGCCAAAATGAAACAATAAACAATAAGGAAAATAAAGTAGTAGTAAAAAGAAGTAATAAAAAGAAGTATAGAAACAAAAAAAAGCACAAGGAAATACAAATAGTAAAGTATGATTTAACGGCCAAGGGATGCCGATTAAATACATTGCAAAAGAATTGTAATCAATAATTATTCATTCAAATAGTCTAAGTGCATTTAGACGATTACAAGCTGGATTATATTTAGAATGGATAATTATTAATTACAATTCTTGTGTAATGTATTTAAGGCAAGGGAAAACTACCGAAAGAAAACGTCTAAGAATCACGAAAAAGGAAGCACTGTTTTTTCCCTTGGCCGTTAAAATCAGTAAAAAAAACAAAAAAAATTTACATACGAAAGCGACGAATGTCTGTTAATAACGACGAAAACATGTCCTTGTGCACTGATCGATACCAAAATTCGTTTAAATGACTGTCGAGTAATATTGACCCACGTATGGCTCTCAAAATTTTTATTTTGGGTTGACCCCACAAGCATTCGATTAATTGTGTGTGACAGTTAGTGTGCGGGTCAACAAAATTTTGACTGCGATTGACCTACAATTTAATTTAGATGCTCATAAAGTTTTGAAAGTCGCAGTGGTTCACTTACCGTTTCATGATCATAGCCATACTGTGTTTGTAAGTTTTTATATGCAACCCATTCATCCGACCATACGGTTGTTCCAGGTACAACATGCTTGAGTATAATCGGAACTAATGTTGCGCAATCACGACGTTGTACGTGGAAAAACCTAACTTCATACCCATTTTCTGTTGGTTGTGCAATTCCAAATATCCATGGAGCTGAAATATTGAAGCTTATTAGTGCAGATCTAACTGGAAGACAGTTATAACTTACCGTCCATTCGTTTTCCATAGTTTCGGTTATTTGTGGGCTGATTACCATCACTACTGCTACTACTATCGCTGTCACTACTGGATTCGTATGGTACTAGGCCGCTCGTTGTGTTGTTGTTGTTGTTCCTCTTATTAATGTTAGCGAGTAGTAACCTTCCGAAATTATACTTACGTTTACCCGGAAAGAGTGATTCGTCTCACCACTTCACCAATACCACCGATTTGTGGAGCCACGTTCAGTTTTTCTGTGCAAACCTTAAAGAATGAATAATCTTTATTATCCGAATATAGTACAGACCCGACAATATGGACTTACTTCTCTTAAAAAATTGCACCGTCAACAGTAGTTGCTTCTGAACATCCAACGGTCCATGATATTGTCTTCGACGTTATATTCGCACACCATAACCATATAATTTGTAGAATAGATGCAACACTAAGTTTTGAGTTGGCTCTACCCAAGGAATCGGCGAAAGCAAAAAAGGTATTTTTTCTTTTACTTAACTCAGAGATGTAGTTTTCCCATTCCGAAGGAGGGACAGGATCCTGGAATCCTCGACCCCCGGAATAAATTTATGAAACTTCTAGGGAATAGGTAATCGACTATGAGGAATCCGCAAATGACTATGAGAGACCGCTAGGACGCATTCTACTGGTCAGAAACGTTCTTTCGACTTGATTGGATGAAAATGATACGGAATAGGTAATCTACTATATACCACTAGATACTTTTGAATTGAAGGATTCCAGGATCCCACAAATATACTATTCCAGAATTGAAGGATTCGGGAATTTGTTGGATTCGAGGAGAGACAAGCACTGCTCGTTCGCTTATCGTGAAGGTTTCGATCAAACACTTCTTTCATACAACGGAGGAGGTGGGTAGTGAGAGTGAGTCATGGAAAGCTGGAATCCTAGGCTCGTAGAGAAATCTCGTAAGAAATACGTTCCTCTGTCGGAGTGCGAAAACTGCACTCCTCACTTTCATAGTTATTTCCGGATTCCTCATAGTCGATTCTCTATTCTGTGTCATCTTTAGCGAATCAAGTCGAAACAAGGTTTCCAACCAATAGAATGCATCCTAGTGGTCTCTCATACTTATTTTCGGATCCCTCATAGTCGATTACCTATTCCGTATCATTTCCATCCAATCAAGTCGAAAGAACGTTTCTGACCAGTAGAATGCGTCCTAGAGGTCTCTCATAGTCATTTGCGGATTCCTCATAGTCGATTACCTATTCCCTAGACGTTTCATAAATTTATTCCGGGGGTCGAGGATTCCAGGATCCTGTCCCTCCGTCGGATGGGAAAACTGCACGCCTCACTTAAGTTATTTCATATGTTGACAGTAGGCATGCACCGATTTCGATTAATCGAAATTCGATTATTCGAAATGAAAATGATATGGAATAGGTATTCGGCTGTGGGGAATCAGAAAATGACTGTGGGCGACCTCTAGGATCGATTCTAGTGGTCGAAAACTTCATTGGAACTTGAATGGATGAAAATGATATGGAATAGGTATTCGACTATGGGGAATCAGAAAATGACTATGAGCGACCTCTAGGATCGATATCGATGATTAGGCATGCAACGGTAAAGGTTACCGTCACCGCTTTACCGGTTTTATCGTACCTTACCGGTCTAACGTTGGTTATGAATGCATAAGAAAATTTATTAGAAAGTGAGATTATTTGGAGAGTGTATTGATGTCGATATTCTAACCAGTTTCCCTTCGTTTCTCAAAAGTTTCCCCAGCAGACGACACACACAATGTGCTCACTACTCTCGTGTGTTAGGACACATATAGGTGTGTCTATCGATCCGCTAATAATATGTGTGTCTGTCTGTCCGGCTGCGGACATACATACATACAGGCATTTTAATTCGATAGAACCCTTTCGTTTACAGTCAAGGCAATATCATTATCATCCAATCAAGCTGAGCTGGACTTTTCGACCACTAGAATCGATCCTAGAGGTCGTTCACAGCCATTTTCTGATTCCCCATAGTCGAATACCTATTCCATATCATTTTCATGCAACAAAGTTCAGACAAAAGTTTCGACAAATAGAATCGGTCCTAGAGGTCGCTTATACTTATTTTCTGATTCCCCATAGTCGAATACCTATTCTATATCATTTTCATCCATTCAAGTTCCAATGAAGTTTTCGACCACTAGAATCGATCCTAGAGGTCTCTCACAGTCATTTTCTGATTCTCCATAGTCGAATACCTATCGCCTATCATTTTCATCCAACCAAGTTGAAATGATCTGATATTCGTTTTGTACTTAGAGTAAGACATTTTGGATTATTTTCGATTTCGAATAATCGAAGGTTCGAATATTTTCGATTTCGAATAATCGATGTTCGATTATTCGGTTTTTAAGCGAAATCGGTGCATGCCTAGTTGACAGCGTACCTAGAAATACGATTAAGTCAGCATAGATAATAATAGCTAGAAATGGAGTGAATCACTGACCATCCTTTAAAGTCTTTTGACGTTTACCGTCGCTCATTTCTAATCCACATTTCGGACATTGATGATCTTCACCTTCTAATACTAATTTTTGTTCACGCGCAAACATAGGAAGCTTCTTGTTGTCATTAAGAATTGAACAGAATTCACGAAAGTTAGTTGGCATTGCGATAGTCATTTTGAAGGTGTGATCATTAACCAGCGCGAGGTATTCATATATATACTCTTCCATCAATATAACTCCAACTTACCTCTGTTCAAGAATCCACGTCTGATTATTTTGACTTGTCGAAATAAGATCAGCTGCTTCTTTTGATTTAGTCTTAACCCTTTTTGATAAATTTTCACATTAAGAACATTAAAAATGTTAAGAACAATTGTTTCTGTACTTCTTTTAATTTACTTATTCTTTATTCTTTCGTTTTGGAATTAAAAGACTCAAACCACAATCTTAACTCAATTTTTTCAACATAGGTGAACACCATATACGTATGGGGAGCACCAGCTATAATGTTACCGCACTCTTTACGCTACCGTGGGGGAACACCAAGTGTATATGGAGAGCACCAGCTTCAATGTCATCACGCTTCTGGGGGAGCACCTGCTAAAGGAGTACCTGTTGAATATAACGTGTTCTCATCACCATGAGGTTCTGTTCTAAGATGAACAAATAACGATTTTCTTATAACACATACTACAATGGCAAGAAAATGTAAGGTTTTTCAGAATGCAAAGAATAGGCGTTGTAGGAATTATTATCGAAGCATAAATTTTATTGTTCTTTTCTTTCTTTGTCCCTCTTTTATCTTTCGAGTTTTTCCGTTTTTCTATAACAGTGTACTCTTAATGCTTTCATTTCTTTCCCATCGTTCATTCTTTTCGATCGTTCGAATATTGCGCATAGTCCATCTCTGCACATAGAGAAAAAACGACCTGTCCAAATGTAACGTAATTTCATTTGTCTAGCTTGTGCGCCCTCTATCTGAGTAAGCACCGAACAGATAAAAGTGAAATTTTTTGTCAAATGTGTAGACCGTCTGGTCCTGCTACAAAGAAAAGTTTGAGCTCATCTCATTCACCCGATCAGCAGTTATAGGTAAAATGGAGCCCGTAACGGAATTCCCAAAAATCGACGATTTTTTTCGGAGCTTTTAGAACTTTGATCATTTCTCTGAAATTAGACATTACAGGAAGATCTAGTTTGTATGAAAGTTGTAGAATTTTCTTCAGGCTTTCAGAATATCTACTTGGCTTTGTCTGAGGATGTCTGGATCGAAAAAAAAGAGCAAAACTACATCCGTAACGGAATTTCATCTTTTCTCGTAGTTTCATATGCGGTGATTACTCTCCATTTCGAAGTTTCACTGGAGAAATTTCACGTGATAAGTTCAATTGATCAGACGAAATGCTGATGAACCTCACTCGAATTTGGCGTACAAACTCTTTTCCCGATTTTTGATTTCTATTTGAAAAAGACCTTCGAGCTCCCAAAGGCGTCCATTTTTCCAGATGAATTTCACTGAACTGAAGAGACACTCCCATGTGAATGAAGATTTTGATACACTCTGATTCCGACCTCAAAATCTGAAAATTTTAATTTTAAAGTGGGTTTTGAAGTTCAAAAACCACTGTGAAATTGAGATTTTCAATTTTCAACCTCGGATTCGTGATCAGCGTAAAAAAGTACGTCTAATGATGTGTGTCGCAAAACTAGCAGAGAAAAAAATTTCACTCAAACTCCTGAAACGAAGGATACCGTTAGATGGACAAGCAGAAAAGAAACAGAACGAAAGAATTTATATGATAGACGAGAAAAATCAAAAACGAAGAAAAACATCGTACCAAATGTGTGCGTATCGTGTCGTATCGTATGTTAGAAAAAGAAAAACGTCAGGATAAGCTACTGAGAAAGTGTACTGAGGAATTTGTTAGTAGATGAACCTTCTAGACAAAATGGCGGATTGACCAATCAGAAGTCGTTTAACATTTTCCTTTTTTTGATCTAAGAAGCACACAGTGTTTTTAATGCCTTATGGAAAGAGCAAATAATAGGAAGTTTTAAATTAATTTTGTCATCAGATATTCTTCTCCTACCCTTCCTAAATAGACTTCGTAAATGCAAATTTATTTTGTCATATACGACAGAGATTTTTCTCCTTTGTGAAGTCCGTAAATAGACTTCGTAAATGAAAATATGATCAAACTTAGTGCAGGAATTCGCGTTAAACACAGATTATTTGGCACAAAGTTCAGTTCGGCTCCATTTGTAATTTTTCATCGATCAGATTAAGAGGAATCGACATATCTCTTTACACCTGCGAATACATGATAAGTCGTTGACGAAGTCGACTTCGACAATGGGTGGTAAGATTTGAATGATTTGATACGATATGATTTGAATCCATATCATTACCAAAAGTAACAGATCACCAAAGGTCACTCGCCTGTAACACGATGCCCTTCGCTGAAAGAATAAGTAAATAAAAAGATATAAACTTAAGGAAACAAAAGAGTAAAGAAGTTATCGTTACTTATTCT